AGGTTCCTCTCTGGCCACCTCTCCAGCCTGTCCAGGTCCCTCTGAAGGGCAGCACAGTCTTCTGGTGTGTCAGCCTTTCCCCCCAGTTTAGTATCATCAGCAAACTTGCTGAGGGTGCACTCTATCCCTTCCTCCAGGTCATTGAGGAATACATTGAACAAGACTGGACCCAGGACTGACCCCTGGGGGACAACACTAGCCACAGGCCTCCAACTTGACTCTGCGCCATTCACCACAACCCTCCGAGCTCGGCCATCCAGCCAGTTCTCAAGCCACCTCACTGTCCACTCATCCAGCCCACACTTCCTGAGTTTCCCTAGGAGGATGTGATGGGAGACAGTGTCAAAAGCCTTGCTGCAGGCCAGCGAGACAACATCCACTGCTCTTCGCCCATCTACCCAGGCAGTCATTCCATCAGAGAAGGCTATCAGGTTGGTCAAGCATGATTTCCCTTTGTGAATCCATGCTGACTACTCCTGATCACCTTCTTGTCCTCCAGATGCTTAGTGATGACCTCCAGGATGAGCTGTTCCACCATCTTCCCAGGGATGGAGGTGAGGCTGACAGGCTTGTAGTTTCCTGGGTCTCTCCAACTTAGATGAAAAGTCACATTCACAAAGTGTCCTAGGCACCATGAATGCAAATGTCTCTAGCTTTGGACCATGCTTTAAGGGGACAGGAGAGTGTGCCTGTTTCTCTTTCCCCTCTCCTCACTCTGCATATTGTTGCTTCTCGAAATTCTGAGAAGCCTGAGACACTGCAGAACTAGACCTGGTCACCCAAGACATTCAACCCAACGTTAAATCACAATTTCTGGAGGAAAAAAGGCCAGAAACCGAAAGTCATTTCTCAAACTCTGGATTTTTTAGCTGTAAATATTGACGTTAAGGTAAAAATCATCTAGAATATTAGCTACAGAAGAGGTTAATGTTTCCTTTGAAGATTAGTGGGTTGCATGTCTTCCAAAGTGAAGTTCCACTGCTCAGCAGGATCTAGGGAACACACTGAGTTCCACTCGCACATCAGCCAACATCAGGCTTTGTTGTCAAAAAGAAAGCTGCACAAAAGCTTACCTTAAAGCTCAGCCAATCGCTGATGTGTTGCTTCCCAACTACCTGAAAGGCTTGAAGGTTTGAGCACCCTCCCAGAGACCATAAGCCTCATGTAGCAAGGGGCACTATTACAGTGACAAACAGCGGAAGCAGACTTGTTCACCTAAGAACATAACAGTCTCTCTTACAGAGCAGCTCTCTCAAACTCACGTTTTGTCCAGGCTACCTCTTTTAAAAGAAGTCTCAAGTGGGAAGGCTCCTCACCTTGCCTTAGAAGCCTCTTCCAAAGCTAGATATACATCACTGTCAGAAAAAAAAAAGAGACTTTTTCTAAAAGCCTCCCTAATTTTAAGGATGCCTTCCTTGAATAAAGTGCTCTGCATCACTAGGAGGATGCTCCCTCATCCCTACAGTTCAACTTTGCCTTATTTTCTTAGCTTTTAAAACGTCTTCCTGATCACATTGCTGGGAATGCCCCAAATATGCTTCTGTCCCTCACCAATTTGTCAGCACTGTGCTAGGACAAATGTATTGGCACTACCTGAATAATTCAGAGCTGTTTACAGAAGAGCTGCTTCTCTCTTTCTCTTGTTCTGCAATACTAAGATTGAGGAAAAGGCCCAGGCAACACAGGAACTGAGAGAGATGCTAAGGTAAAGGTCGATGTTACAACTGGAGGAAAGAGAGAGACACTTAACAAAACAGACTAAAAAACAGAGTGAATAGCCTTAGTAATTACTTTATGCTTCATCATGTTTCCAGGCCACCCGAAAAACTCATTAAAATGTATACTAATTAATTTAAGCCATACTACCCCAGACACATCAAGACCTTCTTTTTATACATTCCTAAGCTGTAATATCCATGTCCTGTAACTTGTTAAAGATCAAGTGTCAAGACTGACAAGTCCACGTTCAGGTAAAGATGGGTCAAAAACCCGCCAGCATTTAAAATGTAATAATCTCAACACCAAAAAACGCCACTGCATTTTGGTGTCTCTCAGGGACTTCGTACCATATTTGTTCAAGTGACTAATGAAGATCTTTCACATTAGATCCAGGTTTAAACTTTGCCTAGAAGCCTCTAACTTCATCAAGAATGTGAAGCACACTCAGATATACATGAACAAAATGAATGATTTCCACTTGATACATACATGTAAATTACAACTGTTTGTGAGCACTTCAGTTCTTCAAAGTACTTCAGCACTTCAAAGCCCACTTCTGGTTTGCAGAAAAGCCCATAACCAGAACCTTAAGTTTCACATCAAAATTAGCTGACAGTTAACAGAAGCCAAGGAAAGAATAAAAGAAAGGTCAAGCACTGATACCACTTAAAGCAAAGAAAACTATACATTGTGAAATTAATTAAATCCCAAATCTCTCACTTTCTAAATACATATCTGTACAGGATTGTGCAAAACCTGTTTGATTATGCAAAAGGCCAGGTTTCTGAGGCAGATTTGGCAACTGCTTGTGTGTGTGTGTGTGTGTTTCAAGAAAACTTCTACTTCTGCATATACAACACAGGGTTTCCTGAGTAGTCCCCCTAGCATGGAAGTTTTAAGAGTAACATTGTAACAGTGGATTACAAGAAAATAGAGTCAAACTAAATTCTCCTAAATCATCTGTCAGAACAGTTTTAGCTTCCCTTTCAGAGTCAGACAGTCACCAAAGGGAACCTATGTACTCGTATGCAGAGCATGATGAGCGTCTTGTAAACCACAAGCTTTTGTAAGAAGCGTAGGTTCCTCGGCTCTTGTCTTCTCATACACATTTTATAGCTTGCTGAAAAGTTGGCAATTCAAAGACTCTTGTCCTATAATTAAATGCCATTAGTCAGGAAGAAAGATCCTCATTTAGAGCCCTGTTTTAATTACAAAGTTACAAAATAATTGAAGTAACTTTAAAATAGGAAGTTCACTTTCTGTGGATGAAAGCTGCCTTCCATCATCTTAAGACTAACACAAACAAGATGCAGGGGTTTTTCCTTACTCTGGAGGGATACAAGGAGCATGTTATCCCCTAGGCAGACATACTCTTAGGATGGCACAGGACAATACAGACGTTAGAGATACATTTTAGGACAAGAGAGCTCAGAAACGTATTAGAAGAAGGCAAAACTTTGATCAAGGATTGCTAGAATGGAATAGGAGCATTTGCTGCTAAGTGTAAAGGTCTTTAGGTTGCAAGTCTTTATTAAAGATAATAAGAAAATAAAAGAAAAAGATGAAGGTCTCATGGGGTCAACCCAATCTCTGTGACAGAAAGAGAAACTGCAACTAAACCGTTTCTAACAAAAGGCTGTCTAATCTGCTCTTAAAAATTCAGTGATAGGACATCCCATAACAACCTCATGTCCCTGGGCAATCTATTCTCGTCATTTCACTGGCGCTATTGTTACTGTTCCCAATGTGCTACACAGCTATCCCTTGCTCCATTTTAAGCACATTACTTTGTCCTGTCTCCAGCAGACAAAGTACAGTTTATCATCTGCCTTGCAGCAACCTTTTATACAGACAATGGCTGACACCATGTCTCTACTAGCTCCTCCCTTAAAAACTCCATTTTTTCCCCCTCTCTTTCCCAAACCCAGTTATCGATTTCTGATCATTCCTGGAACGCTCCTCGGTGGACCAAATCTGGTGTCCTCATCTTTGACATATTTCTCCCCCTGAAGCCTTGAACAATACAAAGCACGATGGAAGAACTTTTCTACGGTAAACCTATGCACAGTATGTGTTTACACATCCCATGTCGTATTTGCTTTTCTCTCAACACTCACACTCTGTTGACTCAATTGCAGCTTGTGATCCAGCTGCAGATACTTCTGCATAAAGCAGCCACGTAACTATTTATCAGGTATTTCAGACTCCAAACCAATCAAACGGGCCTCAAATAGGGAGGCCCCACATGGGCCTGCAAACCTCCCGACTTAGTGCGAGTACATTTGTACAGTAAACTCATGAACTTGCCTGAAAAGGTCTTTCACTTTTGAAATTTTAAAACAAGGAAAAAAACTCC